CCCCCCGATTGGCTGAAGGACAACGACTTCCTGCTGCACGGTCACAGGCCGCCCAATGCCTTCTTTCCGGGCCTGCTTCATGAGAATCTTCCGGATCCACACCGAGACGGGCAACATCTGGACTCACCTGCTAGGTGGCGCCCGCGCACACGCTTGACTTTTACTTCTTGTGATGCTTCTGCAACTTGCTTAAAAATGGTGTCGGCGTCCATCCGCTCCCTAGGCTGCTTATTTTTCCTCTTCCTGGGCTTGTTGTACATGTTCCGACCCAACATGCCTTTCGTGGCGCCGGTCCAGGAGAAGGTGGCTGTCGGCATGTTCTTCCTGGGCGCCATCCTCTGCCTGTCCTTCTCGTGGCTCTTCCACACCGTCTACTGCCATCGGAGGGGGTGTCCAGGGTCTTCTCCAAGTAAGAACCAGCATTACTTCAATTAGTTTTTTTTAAGCAATCTTTATTTTTTTACTGTTCTTCCAAAAAAAAAGTACATTTTATGGGAGTTGCTGCTCAAATCCATTTACAATGTGTTTTGGGGTTGAGGTTAGGCACGTCTGTATTGGAGGTGCAAAAAAATGAATTGTTTTTTATTTATGAGAAGCAGTTCATCATTCACCAAATCCTCCGAATTTTCGTCTCTCGACAGAAAATAATGTCTTATGATTGTTTTGAGTCAAAATAAGGCTTTGGCGAGCATCTCCTTTTCCCTTTGGAAAGCGACAATCAACATTTTTGCCTATTTTCTGACATGTGACGGTCCAAAACAATAATTACGAGAGCATTTTCTTTTAAATTATTTTGAAAAAAATTTTTTTTTCAACAATGGCATGTATTTGAAAACTTTTTTTTTTATTTTTTTAAAATGTGCTGGGCCTTTCCGCCATCACCGTATCCCAGTGCGACTTTTTCGCCACGCCGCAGTCCCGAGGAGTCCGCGCAGGTCACTGCCGACGTCGCCGCTTTTTCCTTCCTCCGAGGTTGTCGCGATCTGTCGCTGACTGCGTGTTCCGCCGTCTCGCTCCAGGTGTGTTTGTGGGCTTGGGGCTGAGCGGCGTGGTGCCCACCCTGCACTTTGTCATCAGCGAGGGTCTCATCAGGGCCACCACCATCGGACAGATAGGCCTTTCCTCAGGGCCTGCCTCTCCTTCGCTCCGTTTCGGTTGTGTTTACCGAACGACGTAAGGCAAGAGCAAGCACGGAAATACAGGAGACATTAAAATTTATTTTTAAACATTTTTTATGATTATTATTTTTTACGGTTGAGTCATTTAAAACTTTGCCTGTGTCTTTCGACGCATATTAACGGTGCAGAATTTTTTCAAGTTCTCGGAGCTGAGACCCGGAACTAAAAGGCGGACCAAAACCGGAAACGTGTCATTGTTTTCCTCGGCGTTTTGTTCGCTCAGATTTTGAGTGTTCTGAGCGAAGTTAGTTTAGGTACTTTCGGTCTAAATCAGGCATTTTTGGATTTTTTTAATGCGCAGGAGACGACCACAGTGCAGGAACGTTGTCTCCGAGTCGGCTGCTGGCTGTCTGCGTGCAAAAGTGGCGACGTGTTGTGCAAAGGTAACGCGTGCTCAACTTTTCCTCCTTTTCACTGGATGCTTCCCTCAAAGAATATTTGTCTCTTAAAAAATAAATAAACATTGTCTTCTGTTTAGCTTGTCTCGATTCGATCAAAACATTGGGCGCATCCACACAATCAAACGAGACATAATGCTAATCCGATTTTTTAATGGAAATTTATTTCGACCGTCAAAAACGATCAATCATGTGAGATATCTTGGAGTACAAAAATGTTTTGAATGCAATAATAGATCACTCTAACTGGCTAATTATACTGTAAACGACGGTTTACAGTTGCTTTTTCTGAAAAATAATGAAGACTCAGCTCGTCGTAAAAACAAAAAATATTACATTTCATTATCTCTCGCGTGTTCTCTAAAACAGAAAACTGTTCCGAGACGTTCATTTTGTTGTTTTGCAG